TTACTTTGTGGGCAATTCTATAATAAAAGTACACCCCACAGAGAGACTAAATTGAAAATTTTGAAAGCAAATACAACATCTCTTCCCAATGTTTTAATAAATTTTGGACGTAAGTACATTTTTTAAATTATCAATTTACTTTAAGTCATTTTCGTACTTTCAATTTTAACAGAGTTGATTATTATGGAATTTATTGTTGGCATTTGCGTTTTTGGTTTACGTCGATACCTTCGTTTTTTAAGCTAATTTCCATTGCGAAGACAACTAAGCGAGCAAATGTTAACGCAAGTGAGTTATGGATAAAGAAAATAAAATACAAAGAATGTCGTAGTGGGCGAATCTATCCGGGGTCTCCGCCGGCATTTGGCGTTCTAAAGCGGTGGCATCACAACCGTCTTTTGATTCTCGAATTAATTGAAATACCTTACATTCCACGGCATGGTTGTAAGTTCCCTCGCATGTTCGAAAATAGTCTCCTGAGAGATTTCGCCCTTGCAGAATATCAACTTGCACGATTTTCTTACTCTATCCATTAAACTCTCGCAACCATTTGACATTCATTTATTTAGTGTATTTTTATTTAATTCTGCAACGTAAATGCAATTCGCAATATTCCTACATTATTTTAAATCAGTTGGGGAAATAAAGTTTATAATTTGAATTGATGCTCCCATGATGCAAAACCGAGTTTCATTTGCCGATTTTGCCGGAGGCGACCTCTGTTGAATTTTGGTTGAATTTTGTCACAGCTTTTTAACAGGGCGTACACAGCAAGTCCGAATCAGTAATTATATTTCTAGCGAAATTGTGGTGCATTCGGGTGTGCCTCAGGGTTCACACGTACGTGCAGTTTTCTTTAATTTGTTTATAAGGGATCTGAGTGATGTGGTTCTTCATTCTGAATATCCTGCCTTTGCAGATGATTTTAAATTTTACAAAACAATTAAATCATTTTTGGACGCTCAGCTTCTTCAGAGCGACCTTAATAATGTTAGTTCGTGGTGCAGAGAAAATGGTCTGGATCTAAATGTTGGAAAGTGTTTTAGTATTACTTTTTCTCGCTTAGCTAACACCTTTCAAAATAGATATATTATTAACAATACAACGATAAAGTGTGTCGCAAAAGTTAGGGACCTTGATAGTAAACTCACCTTTTTGGATCAGCTGGATGATATTGTTAACAAGGGCATGAGAGGTCTGGGTTTTATTACCCGTGATAGTACACTGCTCTCATCCGACTGTTTTAGAACCCTTTATTGCTCCTTAGTTAAATCTACATTGGAGTATGCATCAGTAGTGTGGTCTTCACATTACAGATGTCACATTGATAGATTGGAGACTGTTCAAGGGGCATTTCTGAGGTCCCTAGCATATAGAACGGGTATAAATATCTACAATAACTTTCACATTAATTATTTTCTGGTATGTGAGCCTTTTGGGATAGATAGTCTGGAAATTAGAAGAACCCACTCCGATATTTTGACGTTTTATAAAATTTTGAACGGTGTATATAACTGTTCGGCTCTCTTCCAGTCCATTGATTTTAACATCTATCAAAGACGTCAAAGCTCCCCAATGTTTTGTATTCCATTTCATCACGCCAACTATGGCTATTTTTCCCCTTTAACTCGAACCTTGAGGTTATTTAATAGTTGCTCTCTTGATCCCTTTGCTAGCGGTCTTCGACTATTTAAGACAAGATTGAAACAGGTGGTTTATTGTAGTTGTAACTAGTGTAATACTGTTTGTTTACTGTTTCTTACTGTTTTTGTGTTTTTATATGTTTCATAAGGTTATTTAAAAAGCTTGTTATCTAAGTTGTTGTTTTGTCATATTGCTATTTCTATTTATGTTTATATTGTTACTTTTTCTTTGTAAATTGGCTCAGCCGTTAAAATAAATAAATAAATAAGTATAAACTATATCAAATTTAAAGCAAAATATAAGAAGTACAGATTGAACAAACTATTGCCCACAAAACTGTATCCTCGCAATCTGATCTCTGCTATTAGCATCTATGCACACAAAAAAATCCTTACCTAGTGATACGGAATATTAAAATAGCCGATACGGACCTGAGAGGGCTTGATAGGCTACTGACATAAAATTAATTTGAGTGGTAAACTAACAATACTCAAATGACGCACTTTGAAGCAAAGAGTATAAGATAGAGGGGAAGGCTCCGACTAGTGGCAATGTTAAAAAACGTACAGGAGTTTCATCGCCTCTAGTGATTGTGTCCAGTAATGAAAACGGAAAACGCGCGGGCCGTACGGTTCAATTCAATTTAAAGTTGAAAAGTAAAATGTGAAAAAAAAATGTCGAGATAGTTTTAAACATTTTTTTTATTATAATATAAATAAACTAGTGTAGTATTTTCAGTGTGACGCATTACTTTAAACCGCCACGACAGTACTTTAGTACTAAGGCACAAATAATAGATGGCACTCGTAACGGTATACGCAACCTTACCCTCTATCTTATACTCTTTGCTTTGAAGATAATTCTCAAGACACTCCATAAATATCAAGGTAGATGGCGCTCGAGTAATATAAATTCAAAGTCAAAAATTCGTTAAATTTTGACTATGTTAACTTAACCAAAAAAGTGTCATTTCTTTTTAGTTTCGTCACAGAAATAAGAATTTTTGAGGTAATTAGTTTAAATCATTTATCGGAACAAAAAAATAAGAATTTATAGATAAATTTCTGGAATGGACATGACACGATACTGAAATCTAGCTGATAAGTTTTAGGTTCTCTCTAATTGACATATGATATAAAAAATATGACAAAATATGTTCATGATCATCTAATTAATACAAAAATTTCATTATTAGATTCTTAATTAATCACCAGTGAAAACAAACAACACAAGAGAAAAAACATATCTAGCAGCTTGAAGAGTTCAAGTTGTTCCTCGGGTGATTTCGGTAACAGGGATAATAATGGAAATGGAGCTATGAGAAAAATTGATCAAATCTATGCAACGGTCAGTCTTGCCAAACTACGATAAAAAAAAACTAGTAACAATAAACAGTCTTCATTCTTTTAGATAAAATACATGAAAAATTAAAATATTCCGAATAACTGTCATTCTAATCCACTTCCAGTTCCATGTCTCTCTATCACGGTTCAGCATGTTTCTTTAAGTCATCTGACCATCCATCTGTAATCTTCCTGTTTTGCGCTTGTAATTCCACGGTCTCCAGTACATAATTATCTCAGTTCACCTGTCATTTTTTTTCTCGGAGAATATCCAGCGAATTTCTATTTGCGCTTTGCAGCTGGTGTTAAAACATTCGCACTTATTATTTTTTAGAATATAAGAAAATTTTTGAAATTATACCCAAGCCAACCTAGTTGCGCCACTGTAGTTATTAGTTCTAGATAGTTGGTCATGGTTGTTGTATTATTGTAATTCATCTTTAATCCTATATTTTACGATTCAATATCCAGCCCTTTGATAATTTTTTGTGATTCATCTTTTTTGCCTGTTAGTAATACAATCTCATGTAAGTATCCCAGGTTGTTTAAATATTGCTCATTGATAAGGATACTTAAATTATCCCAATGTAGCTTTTCAGTTAATATTTTGGTCGTCAGCAGGTGCCTACTTGTACTAAAGCCTTTTCTAAATCCGGCTTGCTCTCTTCAGTGGTAGTTATCCAACTTCGATATAAATATATTTGTTAATAGTCTGGTTGACAATTAGCACATTACATATCATTCCCTCCATTTTGTCTTTGTATGTCTAATTAGCTTTTTTCAATTTTTCAATAGCTAATTTGTAGGTGTTTTTATTTTTAGTTTTAAAACAGATATTAATGATCATTTTGGTTCGAACAAGTCTGTGGTAGCTACCAGTTAAGAAGTTTTACTGTTTTACTTCTTTAAGGAAAGTTAACCAGGTCCATTTTCGTTGTTTTCTTTTGTTAAACAATATTATTTCATTTTCACCAGTGTTAAATATGTTGCATACTATATTTTTTGCAATTAACTAAAAATAAGACGGCTTACTAATTCAGTGAAGATATCTTATATAACCTTTATAACATATAACGTCTTTAAGGTGTGAAAGACCTTGTTTTGTAACATTGGATGTCCTCAAGACATCTTCTAAATGACTTGCATCTTAGACAGGACGTCTTTAAGATGTATCTGTGTTATCTTCCCCTGTACCTCCTACCACCACCCATTCGATTTTTTCAAAGTTTATACATAATCTCCACTTTTCATATTCTCCATTCAGCTTACTCAACATCTTTCCTTATCGTCCCTATTGTCAGTAAACTTCAAAGTATATACTTGGTATATAGTCGTATCAGTGCACGAAATTCATTTAGGTTATTATTTATTTCTGTTGTCTGTTTTATAACGAATATATTATCTACTGTTTCCTCTTTTTCAAGTTTATTCTCTATAACCTTTCCATAAATTCTTAAAATAGATCTCAAAAGGTAGTTGGTCAAATCATTTTTTCTTCCTTCTGGTATATGCTACTTATTATATCCAGTTTCAATTGTTCCATCATCTGAAATTCAGTAAAAAGGTCGGTTCATTTCTCAAAGTATATTTGGGTGCGGCTTTCAGCAGTTCCCTAGTTACTCCTCCAAGAACAGGAGTTTTTGTAAGGTTTCTTTTTGGGCTTTCTTAACTATAATTGGCTGTTATACTTCCTTGAGCTGCTCTCAATCTTCCTATGCATTTTAGTTTAATCATTAAAATTACAAGATTAACAGGAAATCCCGTTCGCCTGTATCATTAAACAGTTCAATTGTATTTGTCTGTGGTTATATTTTATTGTCCCTCGTTTGTTATATCATAATGTGTCTAGTTGAATCCCATCCTGTTGGTGTCTTTGAGCATCATGTACTTTTACTTGTCTGCAGAATACCTTTTTATTTTTCTACTCAACACATAGCAGGTTGAAGGTTTAGATCCAGTTATAGTATTAAACTCTAATCAGTAAGAAGTAAATGCAATTGATATCCACTCGCACCATAAATAGCTTTATTCAAACTTTTTTTTCAATTGTCAACAATGATACAACAGCTTAAAATAGAACACAATAACAAAGAGTTTGAGATCTGTACTTTTTCACGATACAACCAATAAAATTTGCCTCCTAAAATTACATATTATGTATGGTCAAATTGTATACCGTCACTAAACTACCGTAAAAATAAGCTTAATCTAAAATATCACTTAATATTGATTCGCGGAATGTTAATTACTTTTATTACAATGCATTCCAATGCTTCGCCCTCCACAATAAAACGAACATATTTGGTTTCGATATAAATGGACTCCCAGATGATATCGGACTTGCAACTGGTGTTTTAAGATTCATAGGTACGTCTGCGTACCGCGACAGCAAATTGCGATAACCGCGTCCGATAGTAGCGATTAAAGAAGTATTGTCGTGGCTACCGTTAACACTTTTGGGGACAGCCAAAGGAACAATAACCTTAACTTCCTCTTCATAAGGTCTGAAGATAGTTATAGGACGGAGGGAACTTTTTTCGGCAATTATCACACAACCCCAAGTGGTACCTATATACAGTTCTTCATCCAATACAACTAGGCTTGACACCTAAAAGTTAAAAATTATATAAATTCAATCACAAAAATGTACCTGCACATAGCTACTAGTGCAGGAACTTTTGAAGCAATAAATGTAAGTGCAGGTTGGTGGGTGAAATGCGCGTCAATTTTTAGGAGCCCACTTAAAGGAAATTTTGCACAACCAAAGTAATGTTTAAAGTATAATGAGAAATATAAAGGGTAAAACTAAACCTAAGATTAACAAGATTGCTTTCGAACAATCGTCGCTGAGTGGGGCAAGTTTGTAGCGCGTAGCGCGAAGCGGCTTTTTATTTTAAGAAGATAGAGCTTCGCGGTTTCTTGTGGTAAAAGGACGCAATGTTTTTCTATCGTCCTCCTGCGGACCACTATGGAACTTTCTCAAAATTGATGTAATTTTATTGTGCATACACCCTGTATAAAAAGTCTTTCAAGCCTCGCCGAACTTCAAAGTTTTAGCAAACTTTGTTAAATATTCAAATTTGTACAAATCATAGCGTTGTAGAATGATATTTTTGCAAATATCTCGCACGCCCTGTATAATTGACGAAACCTGAAACTCTCTCTCGACACAGTTTACCGTTCAAGTCAAATTAACGGATTTTTAGCAGTGTTTCATTTATTCCCAATAATTTACCAACAAAAACAGAAATTTTTAAGATATTCTTGATATTTTTGCTAATAAACGGCACACCCTGTATATGATTCAAATAATGGCCCTGGATCCCCCACGTTTCTTGCTATTTGTTTTTTTTTGACGTAAGCGGTTTTCAAGAAAATACTTGTTTTCTGAAACCATGCAGTACGTGGTAATAGTAAATGACGTCATCACGTCTAGATTGGGGGTGACAATCAGCTATTTTCATGTGGATTTTTTCAAATATCTCGAACAGCGTATCTGATAGACGAAAACCGTAAATACAAAAATTGTTACTCTTGATATGGTCTATAACACTGTTTGAACCGATTGGCCATATGTTTTACGAATTTTGATTTGAGGTTAATAATTCATTTAAAAAAAGTACAACTTTCACGGTCTTTTAGATTTTTGTCCGCAATTGAAAAACCCTGTATGTAATCAAAAAAATACCTAAAATAAGAGTCATAGCCCCAGATCTCCCACATTATCTGGCTCTAAAATTTTGCCGATCGGTTGAACAGTTTTTGAGAAAATTATGTTTTTTTGGAAGACAAAATAATCGAAGAAAATTTTTGAAATTAAAAAAATATATATTTGGTGACATGTCACTACGCTCAATTTCTATTGTTTTGGATATGCTTTTAGAATATAACACAGAATATTCCGAACACGCTGTAGAATATGTGAAAACCTTAAATACAAAAAGTTTAGCTGTCCATATAGAAATATGAAAGAAACTGACAACGGAATCACAGCTTTCTAGTTATGGTCAATTATCAATATAAAGGGAGCTCAATTTTCAGTTTTTTGCAAATTGCCGACGCATCCTGTACATTTTTAAAAAATCAAAGGGAATAAAGCTTTTTGGCCCGGATCTTGCTCGTCGTTTGGTTAAAGAATTTTTTTTATCGCATATACCATTTTGGAGCAATGATTTATTTCTCGGTACCCCGCAAGTGCGGTTTTATAAATTTTTAAAAATACTTCCAGACCCCCCCCCCCCCCAGTTTCAATAGGCTTGGTTACGGAGTTAAGCCCTATATATCTGTCAAATTTCAAGTGGATGGCTTCAAATTTCGTACACTTATCATGTTTCATGACCAAAAAACAGTCGAAAATCAAAAAAAAAAAAAAAGATGGATGCCTTGGTTTGATCAGACTCATTTTTTACTGGTTTGTGTAGCTCGTGCACGGCCTTAAAGAAGCCAAATTTGAGGGCTGTGTTGCCAGGTCTACAGAGAAACGGAGTACGGGTAACGGAGAACTGAAAAAAAGTTTTTTTTTTCGGCGCTGATCATTTCTGTACCAATGGGGGTCCCCTAGGGCCAACCGTTGCCGAGATATGAGTTTCGTTGCCAAGCGCGTATACTTTCGAAAAATTCGATTTCATTGTATTTCGTAACAAGACTAAAACAAAAACTAAAGCTTAGGCTAAAATGGCCGACTAGACACAAATTTTTTAACAGAGATGACGATAGCGACTGTAAGTCACTAAAATTAAAGGCAAGTTTCTGAACTGAAATGGTTATGATCAATGCCCCGTTGAGGGTAAACACCAAATCGCCAAATAGCCATTGAACAGGCTCAAGAAATAAATAAGGGGCAATATGATTAAACCAAAATCCAACTTAGATCTCAAATAGGAGGAATACAACATTTAATTAAAAAAATGTTTATAGTTTCGCAAAACAAAATCTAAGGCTCTAGAGGCGCTGACCACCAACTGATCAATACGAGCGATAAGTGTGAATCTGTCATCAAACATAACTCCAAGATCTTGTACCGCAGTATGTCTCTTGAAGGTTTGTAAAACCGAAATGACATGGATTTTTTGATCGAAAATAAGAAACAGCATTACATTTAATAATGTTGCGATTCACTCTTATTAGCTAAACATCACTGACTAATGCTGTCTTGGAGGTGCACTTCAGCATCGATGTAAGATCGTTAATGAATATGATGAAAAGAAATGACGCTGAATTAGAGCTCTGGAGTTCTGAACCCCTCAAATTCAACAAACTGACTGCGAATAAAGTTGTGCGATTTTAATACAGCAACAAGTTCGTTAGAGATTCCAATCTGGTCAGAATCTGCAGTAATATGTGGTGGTCAATTTGGTCAAAAGACTTACTAAAGCCGGTGTAAATCACATCGACATATTGATAGTGAGGTAATTTTTAACAGTAGTGGTGAGGGGGGACATTGTGAAACGGTGCAGATATGGACATTTTAAAATTTAGCGCCACTAATGCTAAAGTTTCATTGGACTGCTTGACCGTTAGAGTGCACCACACACCAATTTCAATGTATTCGTCCCAAAAAGTTATCACATCTGTCCAAGAAACACTTGCTAAATATTTTATCCAAATCGAAATTGAAGTTTTAAAAAAAATGAAATGTAAAATGGAAACCCACCTGAAATAACTCATTATCCGCCGCTGGAAAGGATTTAATGAAATTACTTATGGAGAGATATCCAATTTTGGCATTAAGGAAGAAAAGAAAATAGCGGCACGGCAAGAATCTCCGCATTTAATGAAGCAAATGTGAAGGATTTTTTTGATAATTTACAGGAAGTTTTAGAAAAGAAGTAAGTAATAAGTAAATAAGCTGGTTGATGTGGATCAACAAGCGAATAATTCAAATATGAGCTATGTGCAAAGTATCACAATCGGCGACTTTTTGCTGGTAAAATATTGTGCCTAAAAGAGTTATATTTATAAATCTTCTGAATTCCTCCTACATCATTTGTTTATGAATCGAACCTGCTGACGTTTCATTGACTTTCATCATCATGTTGGCTTCTTCAGAGCTTAACTGAAACTGTTTCAGTCAGCAAGTTTAATTTATAAACAATCAACGCAGGAGGATCTCAGAAGACTTGCAAATATTAATAGTAATAGCAGCCTGTGGAAGTTTCTTTGAAAAATCAAAAGCATTATGTTGGAGAAGTGAAAGGAAATGGATTTACCTTTTCCCAAGTTACTGATGAGCGCCTAATATGATCGGAACAAGGTGAACCTAAGCTAAGAACGCCTAAAGCAACTGGAAGATCTAGTTCAATAAAACGGTTTCAGGTAGATTTTGGTGAATATAACGTTGAGTAAATGAAAATATTCTGTTTAAAAAAGTATATTTTCCCTATTTATATGACTTTTGTTATATCGTACCACCTTCATTCACCAAATGAATATCACTCAAACTTTTTGAATAAAACACATTGTTTTTGTCCACATCTGCCTCTAGACTGTTTAAATTTACCCCAGTAAAGAGGTGCATTGCTACAATTTGAATAATTAATTATATTTGTAGTGTCTCAATATGTGAATGTTTAAAGCATAAGAACCATAGGGGAACTGGTTAGATAGGCGGTGAGCATCATATGTCCTAAATTTAGTTTTATTAAAAAGATAGGAAGGATTCTGTCTAAACACAGACCATACACACCACCATGGATAAAATAACTTAATATCAATGAGTCTGTAAGTCTAAATATTAGTAAGACAGTAGTAATGCATCACTATGACAAGTTATTTTTTTTAGATGTACTCACCTGACAATTTGTAGGACTCAAGTGTTCTTCAATTGCAATGGATTTCAAACTCTCTGAACAAGGGACGAGTTTAGAACAGTCGAGTTTGTTAATAATAGTTCTTGTGATAGCATCCCATTGATAAACAATACAACCTGGTCGGACATACGACCACACAGTACTGTCGATCGATACCAAATTCATAACGTCCACAAAGTTGATCACTGGCTGATAATGATTTATGACTTCTTGACCCGACACAACCTGATCTTTTAACGTATAAATTGATATTTGGCCGTTACTTCCGCCACACCACAATTCACAGGTCCTAGAAAGTATTAGTGCACGATATGTGCATACATGACATTTTTTAAGCTTACCCTTGGCGGTCCCTGAGTACGGCGCACATGCAATTGATTCCCGAGCTCAGACCAAGCTCTGTCATTACGAATGTTCCCTCGGCAGCGGTTGGCGTTGCGGGTCTAATTTCGGAATTCAACAAAAATAGCCGCCCATTGGACAAGGCGCAGGCAATGCGATTGAGTGGCGGTAAATATACTAGGGACTGCACTTGAATGTTAGGTTCGGTCTCGAGAGAGTAATAAAATATTCTCCTTCCATCGCAAGAACTAAAATTGCAGTTACAGTTTAAATAGTATGCTGGGAAAGTTTCCGAGAAGACAGCTACTTATTTTATCTCTTACATAAATTATAATAACTTATTTAGTGATTTTACGAAGAACAGATTAGCAAAACATACTAATTCGTAACATACACACTCATTTTGGCAATTTACCAGTTTTTCAAATTCCAATTAGCGTAATAGGTGAAACGTAGACATTATGTACGACCATTCCGTGACGATACTTATAAGGCATTGTGGGATTTGAGACGTCACTATGGTACACGATGGTACTAAGAAGAGACTGTGAGACCTACGTGGTCAGTTTTCTATTTTCCATTTGCATTTTGAAAATAAAGTTTTTAAAAAAGCCATCTCGTCACTTGAACATAAATTGGATCAAAATTGTGGTAACATTGTCCCACTAACAATTTTTTGATAAGTATTTTTGCGTTTCTACGATTCTAGTTTTAACAGATATATTCACATAAATTATCCAATAATTAAATAATTTTATTAAGAAACTGGAAATTTTCTTAAAATATTGCATGCAGCACTCTTTAAGAATATAATTGACCAGCGAAACATTCCCAATGATTAGAAACAATCTCCACATTTAAAGTAGGTTTACAAACCTACCGAGGTATTACATGACTATATATAAATTATTTACAAAAGTGTTGCTAAAAGAAATAGACAAAAACATTTAATTAAGAGAGGAACAATAAGGCTTTTTTATAGGAAAATTGTTGAAGAGGTCAATTAATTTACGAAACTGCAGTAGCAGTGGAAAGTACAATCACAAGGGATTAAGATTTAAATCTATAACTAACAAATAACTAAAACACAGAGCAAAGCAAGGATATAATAAAACAGTTAGATCTATATTAACTTATGCAGCAGAGACAGGATCAAGTACCACAAAGACCATGCAAAAGATGTGCACAGTGGAATCGAAAAGATGCGTGCGAGCGAAAAATCAAGGTCTCAGGTAAAGTTGGTTAGAATAAGAAGAAAATTTTGGAATAAACATGCAGAAAGAACAAACTACGAGAGACTGTCAAAAATGACCAAGAACCATATACCATATATACAGAGAAAGGCCACCGAAGGGGTAGAAAGAATGCTAGAAAGACTTTACTAGGACAAACAGGCGATAGCTTGCCATATATGAAACCGTATTCAAAGAACCGTGTTGAAAAAAGAAGAAAAGAATGAAAAAGAAGCGGAAGTAGCATATGTTGTAATTATCATCTAAATAAGCTTTTTTGTACATCGACCCAACTTTTTTCTATGACTAGTTTACCGCGGTAGTAAGGATCAAAATTCAAATGTGGTAGCGGTTGTTTTCAACTTACAATAAACTAAAGAACTTACATTTTATAGAGTTTCAAGGAAAATTTCGAAAAGAAACATTTTACAGTGTGTGTAAAGGTATTGAACTGATTTTTCCAAAAAACTTCTACAGGTACTGTATAACACTATTTACAAACCTTAAGGATTCCTCTTCTTCTTCTCACTCTATTCTGCACCTGCTCATATTTTGAGGGGGCATGACCACTGATCCCATATTGGTGACAGGTAAAGGCCTGAGTCGCGGCTAAGATTGTTTGGTTGTTCATAGATTTCTATAGATTCTTGGATTTTTCGTTGGTAGAATTGATTGCATGCAAGAATTTTAGGTTCTCCTTCATGCCTTTGAGACTCAGCTCACATTCACTAATCATAGAAATCATCAAAATAGAAGAGCAGAATGTGAACCAGTTTCAGTTAAGATCAGAAGAGAATGATTGGCGAAACAAAAACAACCGACGCAAGAAGAACGCAGAAGATTTGTAAACAGTATTTGATTGTTTTATTCCCAATACTTTGAAATAAAATACTGCTTTTTATATATCTGTTATTCTTTTTTGAGATTACGAAATTACCAAAAACCAAAAAACCACTGACACTCAGAGTTTAAAAATAATAGTAGTACTTAAACTAGATTTATTTGGAATTAATGATTTTCATTTCCGGTCTGAAATATTCGAATGCAAGCCACTCACACTCAGAGCTTAAAAATAATAGTAGTACTTTAACTAGAACTATATATATATATATATATATATATATATATATATATATATATATATATATATATATATATATATATATATATATATATATATATATATATATATATATATATATATATATATATATATATATATATATATATATATATATATATATATATATATATATATATATTGTGTGTGTGTGTGTGTGTGTGTGTGTGTGTGTGTGTGTGTGTGTGTGTGTGTGTGTGTGTGTGTGTGTGTGTGTGTGTGTGTGTGTGTGTGTGTGTGTGTGTGTGTGTGTGTGTGTGTGTGTGTGTGTGTGTGTGTGTGTGTGTGTGTGTGTGTGTGTGTGTGTGTGTGTGTGTGTGTGTGTGTGTGTGTGTGTGTGTGTGTGTGTGTGTGTGTGTGTGTGTGTGTGTGTGTGTGTGTGTGTGTGTGTGTGTGTGTGTGTGTGTGTGTGTGTGTGTGTGTGTGTGTGTGTGTGTGTGTGTGTGTGTGTGTGTGTGTGTGTGTGTGTGTGTGTGTGTGTGTGTGTGTGTGTGTGTGTGTGTGTGTGTGTGTGTGTGTGTGTGTGTGTGTGTGTGTGTGTGTGTGTGTGTGTGTGTGTGTGTGTGTGTGTGTGTGTGTGTGTGTGTGTGTGTGTGTGTGTGTGTGTGTGTGTGTGTGTGTGTGTGTGTGTGTGTGTGTGTGTGTGTGTGTGTGTGTGTGTGTGTGTGTGTGTGTGTGTGTGTGTGTGTGTGTGTGTGTGTGTGTGTGTGTGTGTGTGTGTGTGTGTGTGTGTGTGTGTGTGTGTGTGTGTGTGTGTGTGTGTGTGTGTGTGTGTGTGTGTGTGTGTGTGTGTGTGTGTGTGTGTGTGTGTGTGTGTGTGTGTGTGTGTGTGTGTGTGTGTGTGTGTGTGTGTGTGTGTGTGTGTGTGTGTGTGTGTGTGTGTGTGTGTGTGTGTGTGTGTGTGTGTGTGTGTGTGTGTGTGTGTGTGTGTGTGTGTGTGTGTGTGTGTGTGTGTGTGTGTGTGTGTGTGTGTGTGTGTGTGTGTGTGTGTGTGTGTGTGTGTGTGTGTGTGTGTGTGTGTGTGTGTGTGTGTGTGTGTGTGTGTGTGTGTGTGTGTGTGTGTGTGTGTGTGTGTGTGTGTGTGTGTGTGTGTGTGTGTGTGTGTGTGTGTGTGTGTGTGTGTGTGTGTGTGTGTGTGTGTGTGTGTGTGTGTGTGTGTGTGTGTGTGTGTGTGTGTGTGTGTGTGTGTGTGTGTGTGTGTGTGTGTGTGTGTGTGTGTGTGTGTGTGTGTGTGTGTGTGTGTGTGTGTGTGTGTGTGTGTGTGTGTGTGTGTGTGTGTGTGTGTGTGTGTGTGTGTGTGTGTGTGTGTGTGTGTGTGTGTGTGTGTGTGTGTGTGTGTTCGAAGTGTTTTCGGAGCGCGGACTTGATGGAATTCCATCGAATATTAAGTGTAGTAAATGATATGCTATGAAAACTAAGTTTATTGTTACGCATTTTTTTTACAAAATTGTAAAAAAAGCGAATGATTCACACTGATTCATATATCGGTGAACTATATATATTAATATCCGAGAATCTGGAATAAAACCCTCTCATCTTAATTGAAAAATTCTTGTCTGGAACATATTTTCTTGTAACGGTCAAATTTATGAACAAATATCAGGAACAGTTATGGGTTCTCCAGCAACAGGCAACAGCTTTTGGAAAGAAAGCCCTCGACACTTTCCATATAAAGCCAAAATTATTGAGAATACTTTTATTATTTGGCCTCATGGTCAGTAATTAATATGGGATTTTCTTAACCATTTAAATTCAGTACTTATAGTAATCTCCCTTCCTCTTTATTCTCATCAAAAAATTAGACCTAACATTGCGTCATTTAGTACACAGAAAACTTACGCACACACAAAAATCATCAATTATCAAATCTCTTGTTCCCAAAATCATAAAACTATCTCAAATCAAATCACTCAACCCAGAATTAAAACCCAGATTTACCACTTTTACCAGATTTACCACTTATCCAAAAAAAATTTAACGTCTTTGATCTGTTAAGGACAAAATTTCGTTCGAGACACCATGGGTTTACAGCATTCCACGCATATACGATAATGATTACAATGGAGAAATGATGAAAAATATCAACTACGATAAAAGAACATGGATGAGCTTTAAAACTATGATAAATAAGTTTATTTTTTTATCAGCAGTTGCCCAACACAACTACGAAACCGGATATCAAATCTTGTTCGACCACACTAAAATTCTTTGATATAATCTATTATTCTACAAAATAAAAATCCGAGAATTCGCAAATATCTCTAAACAATCAAACAATATTAACAGCGACTTGGGTCTTAATCTGTCACCAACGTAGAAATCAGTAATCCCAAACAATGTTCCTGCTCCTCCTTTAACTCCGCCCCCTCAAACAGTATATAAGCACCCAGAGCAGAATACAAACCAGTCTGAGTTAAGCTTAATTTAAGTTTAATAGTCTTAAAAAACAAAACAAAAATCTTTATTCATTTAAATTCTTGTATTGGCTTGATCTTTGGGTGATTGGTTTAATACATTTGCCGAATATCTCAAATATAATGTTCAGCGCTCCTTTATTCATATAATATTTTCGGAAAAATGTTTCTAATAATATATCATTTTTATTTTTGCTATTGAAATAACAATGATAATTAACCTTTATAATTACTTATAAGTTGTATTACAATTGTTTGGGAATCAAATAAGCTGAGTCCGGTCCTGGTCAGTCCCGGCCTGCAGCGCACAAGGCAATTCGATCGGGATTCGACTCGCAGAAGCCGCGTGAACATCACAAAATGAAATTTAAAATTTAGGCGAATTAAAAACGTTCAGGTATTCGAAAAGTGACTTTGATCCATTTGGCAAAAAATCGACGAACACACTACAACAATATTTTCAAAGGCAATATATTTATGTAGAATGTCATTGGACTGCTTTGTATTATCTTTCAAGTTTACCATAAATGAGTAAAATGGGATAATTAAATAGATATACAGAAAAAATTCGACGTCTAAGTTTCACCATAAGCTGCTTGTTCCACTGTGCAGCAGGGTCAGCTGAATCAGTATGGAAAACTAGTAATTTGTAATTAGTATATACGCATATAAGCCACCAGGCATCCAAATTTTCAGAGGTCCTAATATACATGGAAGCAACCAGAAGTAAGCACCCTATCCTTTTTTGAGTTTCAAAACTAATTTTTTTTGTCTCTCTTGAGTTTCCCATTCTGTGACATGAACAATAGTACTTTTGTAGCTTTCCAAAACTTTTCAGGGTTCAGATACTGCATTTCTCTCGCATATTTAATAACCTGATATAACTTTCAACAATTACACTTTTCGCTGGTTGCAGCAAAACGAATAATATAACTATGTGGTCTTACGAATATGCGTGAATCTTTCCAGCACAATCGCCAATCCACACGGAATTGCTGACGGTACAAGTGACTGACGGCCTAACAGGCAAAGTCATGGTATGATATTGTTGCCAGTTTTGCTCGGCTGCTAATAATAAATCCACCCTTGAATTCTCGCACATCAACCACATTTCAGAACCAGAGAGTCCATCATCTAAAATCACAAACAACTGTAGCTAGTTTTAATTATCATTATGAAGAATCCTCGACAAATTATTTATATCACCTACCCGTTATATGAGTAAGAGCAGTACTGGTGGAAGCTACGACTGAGGCGGGATGTTTTAAGTAGACAACATCACTCAAATGAGTAAATTCTGGTGCACTAGCGATGGATACAATTTGACTAGCGGAAGGTCTATCTTTTGGTTGGTGAGACCAACACAAGACCATTAAGTCCAAGAAATAGCTTGGATACAAAGTCTCCTGCAAAATTTGATAAGGGTAATCCGTATTTTCGGTCAAAGACAATTTAATTACTCTGTATGTTAGTGGCGGTCGACCACCTTCTAAAATGCATTCTTTAACTGATTCGTGACCTTCAAACGGTTGATGTAAGGTAAGCAACTCATAGATAAACATTCCAAATGAAAAGCAGTCCACTTTTTCTGTGTATTCCTCTTCACCGTTATATCTCATAATTTCAGGTGCCATAAAACCCTCAGTACCTCCAAAACCCTTGGTGCCAGATGGAAGAGTTAGTCGACTAATTCCTGAAAAATACCATTTTTAGAAATGAAATTACGATTAAATAAAAGATTAAGTCCACTGCAAGGTGAAAGACAAGTCCAAAATATTTTTTAAATTCTTTTCTGTCCCGCTATGTTCTTGTGTCCTGTTTGAATACCCTTCTTACCTGTAGTTAAAAGAATGAGGAAGTTATACTGCACTTACTTTGTGATGTAGTTCATATTTATATTACGAAAGTTGTGTTGTCAACAAATTATAATTAATAAATCGATTGAGTAAAAGTAAAAAGTGTATTGAATAATTCATGATCGTAAGGTAAGAATAATGAAAATATAACACAATTTACTGCAGCTTCCGGTTCTGGATTTAGAGACAGAAAGACTGATAACCAAAGTAGATACACCTTGTACTAGTTCAGAATTATTTATTAAAAATCTTAAATTGATAATATTTTTAGTCCTTGTATGATTAAAGAGACCAATTTGATAAGATGGAAATTTAACGAAAAATGTCTGTAGATCTTACCATAATCAGCAACTTTGATATGAACAGGATGATCAGGATAATCAACAAAAGGTGGAGGCATTTCCCACACAAGCACATTTTCAGACTTCAAATCGCGGTAAATAATATGCTGCCTATGTAAATACTCCACCGCTTTCGCTACCTGAAACATTTGTAGACATTAAACATTACAGAAAGTAAGTATAGTGTGTCTCAAAGTAATTTTTCCGTTATGTCGCGTCGAATACACTTAGTTTTAAAACAAATTAAGTAAAATCTGCCCGAATGTTTAATAAGTCAAGGATTCATTAAACAAGAAGCTTTATAAGGAACCCCCTTACCTACAAAAACCCCAATACTCTTGAAAAAGAATATGTTTAGATTTAGATTTTTGGACCATACGATTGAAATTGTCAAGATCATCTCAAAACTTACATCCTGATGACGCAGAGCCAAATAGAGTGTTGTAATTGGTATTTACATTAAGTCAATTCCGAAAATAATTTTAAAAATTTAGTTATATGATCCGACGAAGCTCATTTTATTATTGACATTCCGACGGGAACGGCATGGTTCGTTTATTACTGGGAAGAAAAATTGTATATAACATTTTTAAAGGCAATCTTATTACAAACAAATATTAGAAATAGTAATAATTAGTGGTAATTTAATTTATATTTCTGACAGTGCTCCCGATCACAATGCTTGAATTTTAAGAGTCTATCTTTTTTTTTCATTCTACCAAGGTTTTACAAAATGTATTCAAGGCTAGAATTTGGCATAGTTTTTAGTTGGCTAAGTAGTTTATAATTTAAGTAATAGTATCCTGGGGAACTATTCAGTATGTTTGGTCTTTTTTTCACTTGCGAGGTTACTTTTTGGTTGATAATTGATTTTATTAAACCTCAATAAACATAATGTACTAATTAATCATTATACCAAAAATATCCACTGGTATTAAGCATTCGATAATTGCCTTTATAAGCCTTATAAGCTTTGAGATAAAGTATATGAAACATACCTGAAGTATAACCGCCTGTATGGTGTAAGGACCGATCTTTGAACCTGATCTTCTGTAATGTCTCAATAATATATCTAACGCCCCTTGTGGAGCTAAATCCAGAACCAACGCCAAAGGACTCGTACATACCCCAACAAAAGGCACTATATTCGGGTGTTTTAAACTCATTAAAATATTCAATTCTTGTCTGGCCGTGCAATACGCTTTACAGGCATATTGCAACGGATCCCTATCCCATTTCCCCTGGGCAGCTTTATAAGCTATTATCGCTGACTGACGTGCGTTCGGTCCAGGCTGAACCGGTTGGAGCATCTTCATGGCAATATCAATAATGTTATTTGAACCTCTCAGTTTGCAGGTACCTTTAAAAACAAATCCGAACGCTCCGCGCCCTAAAAGGCGGCCCCTTTTGATGTTTTCTGGCCTTATTATATATCTTTCGCCCAAATCGAGGAACACCTGAAATTTTTACGCGAATGTCAAAATCGAATCCCAACATTAGATGCACAGACAATATTTTCATCAGATGTTCAAAATTCGAAATGCAGAAGTCTTCTCTAGCATTTTTTTAACAAGAGTCGAAAATATTTTAATCGACAATGTTATTCCTGTATAAATGTCGCTTCTAAGTTGTTTACCGATTGAGTAACTTTATTTTAAACTGCGAGTACTGCGTCTAACATTATTTAAAGAGCACATCAAATATCTCACAAACTGTTCGCTTTGGTTTCTCACAATTTTATTTCGAATTCCAAAAAGCAACAACACATTGCATATTACATTTAAAATAAGAAAGATGATATTGCCCACAATTACATGACACACTTTGTATATTTGAAAATAATTTTACACTCGCTACTGATATATACTCATCGCCCAAATTCAGAATATGAAAATACAAACGTCTACGTGATATTAAAATATCTATGTCTACGTGAGTTACTGTATATATCATAGTTGCGAAAAAAATGTTATTCTATTTTATTTTATAAGAAAAAATATATTTCTTACTGTATCTGGGGCAATTCTGGACAGACTTATATCACCGTGACTGGGGCAGGTTACACTCTTTTCACTATAAGCGGCTAGAATGCATTCTTCTACCATCCACGAATAGTGTGACGGCTTCTCAAACGTTTCATCTGTTGCTAGTAGCGGATGACCTTCCATAGAAACATTGCGGCTAGATACACTTGACTCAGCCCCCACACCACTATCACACTCTGAGGTATATGACTCTTGGGATTTCCTAATTCGGAACAAGTCTTGGTTTGCTAACTGGCTTTCCGCTTCTAAATTCAAACGTTCTACCGTTGGGTAATTCATTTGATTGAAATCATTATTCTCATTGTCCAAATAACTTTGGTTTAAACATTGGGGGCAGGGAACGAGCCTGGTTACTAAAAATTTTCCTTCTGAAGTGTGAACAAAGCGAGTACCCAGCGTGGGATACCAGTCCTCTAATAGGATATCAATATGATCAACCAATAACGCCAATAGTTGTGCTGGCGATTCCGTTGTGCATTCAATGACAAGCTGATTTTTAATTTTATACTGATTGGGATCAGAATTCTCTGTAAATATTGGGTTTACCACTAAATAGTCAAATGGAAAGTATATCTCCAAAATCGAAGAATTTTGTAAATCTATATCGCACCAAGCACCGTCTTGTTTTATTTTAAATCTGGAATAAAAACGAAACCTTTCATTAGAATTGTAATTTAATATAACCATAATAATGTTAGAAACAAATGGAAGGAAAAAACCGCGCTTACTTCAATTGTTTGTAATTTGCAGCATTTCCTTGCAAGAATTCTTTCATTCGAAACAATGTAATATCTCCGTATTTCAACTGGAAGCCTGTTTGCCATAACACCCACTCAGCTTTAAGATCAAGCAGTCGAGCCAAATGCAAATCTTGGGCAGCTTCCTTCGGTAATATAAAAAACGACCTAATGATATCAATAATGGAGTCGTCGGCCAGTATTCGTGACATTAATCTTGACCAAAATCCAGACGGGAAATAAGACATCAGCAGCAAGCGAGTTAATGATTTATCTGAACGTTTAGTCATTACTTGGTATTGTACACTTTCAACTTTTGGTTCTGCAAAATGATATCCTTTTAACAACATACTATTAAAATATTAATTTTTAAAATGACTTTACAATTTGCTAATAGTTTGGCTCCTCTTTTAAAAAATTTCCATACTTTAAAACAGATTTCATATTTGCTTATAGAGCTTTGATAAAGTTAACTTTAATTATCAAATTAACAAAAGTCCTGTCCGGCTTGCTCAAACTCTTAAGTCTGAACCTCCTCGTTTGCAGTTCCACTGCGTTCCCATCTGGGATTCTTACTATTCATAATTTATATGGTTCGAATAAAGCTACAAGTTTTGTCAATATAAGAAATTCGTTGACGATTTGAAACTGTACAGACTTCTTTTAAATGTTGAAAACTATGAAGAACTCTTTTGCAAGAAATAAATCATAAGTAAAGTGGCTTTTACTTGATGAAAATCCATTCATCAAAATAAATAAGAACTAAAAGTTCAGATTTTCACGAAATTATATATTTTTATATGACAATTGTGTAATATGTACAAACTACTACTATATATACCGAAAAATGACCATAAAACCTTAATTAATATTGTGAGAATTTAAGTTTAATAATGAAGAGGTATTTAAATCTAATTGATCGATTAGCAATAATAATTTGAATGCCTCATTTTGTTAATCTCCATGGATTTCAATAAATTTAATTTTCTACTTTTTGTGGCTGCATGTTAAATATCAAAATTGATGTCAAAAATGTGTTTTTCTGTGTTTAAGTGAGTAGCATAATTAGAATCTAGACTATTATTTTTAAACGCTCTTTTATGTTCGTTAATCCGTTTCTTGAAGGATCTACCTGTTTGTCCGATATAAATTTTAGGACAAGATCCGCATTTCAACCTGTAGACACCTGATTTTTGAGATTTTGAATATTTCGTTTTATTGCTTTTTAAAATTTTTCCTATTGTGTTGTTAGTTCTGAAAGCTATTTTTAAACCACATTTTGACAAATGTTTTGAAACTTTTTCACTAGGTTCCCCTAGGTATGTAATTGTTTTTAATTGTTCGTGTTCTGCATTAGGTTTCGGATAAATAGAGTTTACTATTGTCTGAATTTGTTTTTTATTAAAAATTTTATCTATAATGGACGAATTGTAGCCGTTGTTCAGTGCAATTTGTTTAATGATATTAAGTTCTTTGTTGTAATTTTCTATTGAGAGTGGCGTATTAAGAAGAAGTATAAAAGAGTGAACTGCAGCCATTTTGTGTGTATAAGGGTGACTTGAGCTGTTCTGTATGACTGTGTCCGTGTGTGAAGGTTTATGATAAATTGAAAAATCTAATTTGTTTTGCGCTTTCGTAATAGTTAAGTCTAAAAAATTAATAATTTTATACGATTATGCAATGAGTTCATGTAATTTAAAAAAGAATTCAATTGTCTCTCCGTTCCAACAAAGCAAGCAAAGACATCATTCATGTATCTATACCAATATAAAAAACTTCTAGAATGATATTTTCCAAATTATTCATAAAAATCTCTGCTAACAAAGGACTAAGTGGGTTTGCCATAATCAAACCTTCTTTAGAGATGTAAATCTATTCATTAAAATCAAAATAATTTTGGACTAAAGATACTATTAAGCAATCTAATAAATCTTGTTTCACCAATGGATTAACCTGTTTCCGAGTTAGGATGAAATCTACTAAATCTATCACATCCATAAGTGGAATACTGGGAACTAAGTTTTGTACATCAAAAGACAATAGTGTTGCGTTAGAAGGGATTTTGATCTTTATTTTTGTTGATTAATTCAAAAGAATTTTTTATTGCAAATTTCATTGCAAGAATTCTTTTTCTATAAGTAATATATATAATATATAAGTAATTATATTTATAATTTTTCAAAGAAACTGCGTCGGCTGTTGATGAATCGAACTTGCTGACGTTTCGCCAATCATTTTGTTGGCTTCTTCAGAGATTAATTAACACTGGAATTCTACTTTGTACCTGCTTATATATTGTTGGAGGGGGGCGGAGCTGAAGGTTGGAGCATGAATACTGTCTCGAATAACTGATTTCCATATTGGTCAAAGGTAAACACCTCAGTCGCGGTTAAGATTATTTGGTTGCTTGGAGATTTCTATAGATTTTAGTATTTGTCGGTGGTAGAAGAATTGATTGTATGTAAGAATTTTGCTGATGAGTTTGTCTTTATCTTAAGGCTCTTTTATGTTCTTTGAGCCTAGTTGATATTGTTCGTGCGGTCTCTCCAATATATACTTTGTCGCGCCTGCATGGAATGCTGTAAACTCCTGGTATCTCAAACGGAATTTTGTCTCTGATAGATGGAAGATGGAAGAGGTTTTTCGGTAAGTGGTAAATCTAGTTTTGACATTATATTTCTCAAAAACTTTTTATATGTGGTCAGTGATGTTTTGAATCTAAGGAAGGACAATAGTTGCTTCCGGACTCATTGTCTTCTCGAGTTTCACGGCTCCGTAAATAAGAGAGTTGAGAACCAATGATTTTAGAAGGTTGGTCATGTGACAATGCATTAAGGTATCGGCCTGTGTCCGTAGTAGGTTTTCTGTAAACAGAATGACCCAAGTTAGGTCTGATTTTCTATTGATAAGAATATCTAAGAATGAAAGATTGCCATTAGTTTCTAATTCAATGGTAATATTTATGTTAGGGTGTATAGAGTTTAATTGGCTAAGTAATCTCGGAGAAATTTTTGACGACTACGACAAATAAGCTCATCAGCAATTGCTGAACACAATCATAAAACCGGGCGTCAAATCTTATCCGATACAACTAAAATTATTACATGAAATCAATCCTTCTAACGAAAAATCCAAGACTATAGAAATCTATAAGCAACTAAACAATCTTAAGTGCGACTCAGAGACAATGTTCATACCCCTCCTTTAACTCTGCTCCAATCAAACAATATATAAGTAGGTACAGAGTAGAATGCAAGCCAGTTTCAGTTAAGGTCTGAAGAAGTCAACAGGATGAATGGCGAAACGTCAGCAAGTTTGATTTATAAACAACGAGTAAATAGTATTTCAGTTAGTTTCTTTGAAAAAAATAATAGACGTTTCATTTTTGATTAAATGAAGAAGTTGTGGGAACACATTCTTTTTATGTAAAGTCTCATTTAATATTGTAGACATTGTTTGGGTTGACTTGTAGTGCACCTAATATTTTGCGCGATTCACTTTGCGATAAAGGATATGAGGTTAGATGTAATAAATATTGAAGTTTGCCAATGTGCTACATATAGTCTAGAACATGACGGGGTATTAGTATAAACTGAGAAATAGTTACAGGAGCAATTTTTTACTTTAGTAGTGTCCACAAATTACAAATGTTAAAATCATTTGCGCTATGGTGGTAGTGGTATTACAGTCATGATTTGTTATGTTTAACCCGTGAGTTGAAGAAAATTTCGACGACGGAATGTGTGAGAGTAACGAATAAAAAAAAAATCAATTGTGTCAATTATGTACTTGAATTAGAAAATAATATTAAAAAAATAACTCGGGACAACGTAAAAAAACGACGACAAATTTTATTTAACATCATTTAATTTCCTTGCTGCTACCCCAGAGCGGTTTAATTTGCTGACTCAAAAAAGCCTACAAGCAGATAAAAACGGTAATAGTACTGTTACTGTCATGACCAAAACGGCACGAATACATTTACTGACGTGTAGAACTGACGTATTTGAGAGTAGGAAGTATTTTGCTATTTTGATGCTGAAATACTTAATATTTCCTAGTGAGAAAAATGAAAAAAACTTACTTTTACAAATTATTAAGTAATAAATTCACAAGATTAACATTGTTATAAAACTTGCTACGCGGCCAGAATTGACACTGACGTACAATTTAAACATATCTTCGTCTCTGCAATGTTGCCGGTTCTAACCGAAATCAGTTACAATACTGAAATTTTAACTGAAACATATAGTTTTTTATTTATTTTTATTGCATTTTCGAATTCGACATAATAAGTTAAACAACATGCACCAACAACACACCAACTTGTTGCCATCTTGATCGAAAAAAAAAACTGATTTTTTAAAACCCTGCTTCGATAAAGTGTGACATTTTGGCGTAAAAACGAATTATTTAATTAACACTTTTACAGTTGTTAGCTAATGAATTTTATACAGGGGATATCAAAAAAGTGCACTGAAGGAAATATAGTAATAAAAAAAAACATTTGTTTGTCATACGGAGTCATACCATAACAATTCAATCAATCGAAAGTTCTGGGTACTGAACAATTAACTCATCAATATTATCCATGGGAATGAGGTCTGAAGACCTTGGGGTCAATCTCATGGTCCTAATCGCCTGATCCACTGGTCAAACATTTCATAAACTTCCTCATCAATTTCGTGAGTGCCGTGAGGTTCTGTCGAGCTGATACCAAAAAGTCTCTAAGAGCCAAGAGTAAGTCATCTAGAAAGTTTGCTACTACAGAACCCAAAAGGTTCCAATACTCCTGTGATTTAATATTTCCATGATAGATATGATATCGAATTGTTGATTACTAAACAAAAAACGTTAATGTTCCCTTCCTTTGTAAATTTGGACTCATCACTCCAAATTATTTTACGTAAGAACTAAGGGTCCTCTTGGGTAATTAATTAGTAATATCTCGCGAAATTCTGTACGCCGAGCAAAGTCTTCTTGATGAAGAGCGGACACGGTATTACATTTATACGGGCACCGTTTTAAAATCCTGTCAACGCATTCGCATTTTTTTGAAATACCTATTTTTTTTCCGTTGAGCACAAGAGGCTTCAGGATACGCATGAAAACAAGCTAACACGTTGATGATATTTCCCTCACTTGAAATAATCAGCAACGATTAATAAGAGGCAAATTTCATTAAAAAATCTGCGAGTTTTGCTAACAACTCTGCTGCACTACCCATGTATTACGAATAAATTTAGAATTTCAAGATTACAAGCTTAAAGTCATTCCAACTCCAGACACATTTTCTTGTAATTTTTCGTCAAGGACCTCCACGTAAATTGTGATGGGTGCCGTATGACAATGGATAATATCTTTTAATTTCTTAAAAAGCGGTAAGCGATATGTCTACGAACAGATATAATCATTTTGTGGATAATTTTTTGGCATAGTTAACTGAATTGAAAAACAAAGACTTTTTATTATGACCAAATTTCTTTCAAAAGTGCACTCTTGCGGCGTCTCCTGTATAAAATAGTTAAGTTTTTAAGTACATTCATGAGTTCTCACCTGCGACAGCGTTAATTGAATAATTCGTTTTTACGCCAAAAACTTTTTTTGTGTGAACAAGATGGCAGATAAGTGTAGGTACAGTTAGTGGAAGTTGATTAAATGGTTATATCGAATTAGAAAATGTATAAAAAACTGTATGTTCCATTTGAAATTTCTATGTTGTCATCGATTTCGGGTAAAACCGGCAACATTGCACAAGCAAAAATATTTTATTAAATTTATTATTGTCATAATTTTCACGTCGACTTAACTTATAATAAATAAATTGAGTCTTATTCACTCCTTACTACATTAAAAAATCGATTCAATATGTTAAGAGACATACAAAAGGTACTGAGCAATAACTAAATCTTGAGCCACTAAAAATTGGGTTATCTATCTTGTGCGACTTTGTAATTCTTTTTTTTCTATCGCAAGCAATTTCCGAGATACCATTGGACTACGCAGAACTGCATATTTTGCTTAACTTACCTGCAGTTGCGGATGACGTCCCAGGCATAACCAATTGAAAATTATCTTTGCTAGTGTCCCTATACAAGATAGATTTTGGCGACACGCTTATTTTTTTATTTCGCACAGCCCAGCCGCGAGACCTTAACGGCACCTTTACCTTCACCAAAGATTGACTTTGGCCCGGATACAGCTGGGCTAGAATCATATCGTCTTCGGATGGTAATAGTGACGGGATAAGCAGTGTTCTAGAATCCCAAGTTAATGCCACTTCGAATTTGTTCAACAGGTTTACAATATAACCCCTCATATCGACTGGACCGATATTGCTAGCTTTGAAGACATGCTTTAGATCGTCTAATTTCATAACCCCGGACCTCGCAAAGGGATTGATTTCTCTAATTGTCACCACGTGAGCCAACATGTCACATAACCACTGTGGGTCCAGAAAATATAGATCTTTGAGAGTCGCATCGTCATAGTGCAATAGTACACCGTTGTCGTGGAGGAATAAAGTTGCCTGGTGCAATTCAGACCAATCCCTGAACGTCTTATTATATCTGAGCTGCATTTCACTTATCACTACTGACTTAAATTGTTCCGTCGTCAGGACCGGGTCTAAACCATTCGTACGATATTCTGCAGCTATATAGTTAATAACGTCTTCTAAAGCTAGATAGGTGGCAGGAACTTTTTGCTCAAGTAGAAGTTCCTTATTACCTGTAAAACAAACACCAACTAGTAATAGATCACCAGAATATGAAATATAACCATTTACCAGGTGGTTTTAAACTGAAAACGGTGTCATAAATCAAATTACAAAGCAGTCTGATGTTATGTCTTGTTTTACAACTGATCTCAATTGTGTCCAATACCTTTGGCAGGCCACACTTTTCCGCATCGACGATATTGATAAAACGGTCACGGATTATCTGTTGATATTCTTCAAATATATTCGGGTTAAATTCCTGCACCAAGTCGTAATGGGTTCCGACAATTATCACCGGCGAATTTGGCGCTCGGGCTTGGATATTCACGAGCCACTGCAAAATTTCATTGATCCCCCTATGACCATCGGTGATTCGCCAAACAACCAAGTACAGACTTCTTTTTGATAAAAAGTATTGGTGAGTGGCATAATATTCCCTTTGCCCGCCGAAATCCCACGTTCTGAAGATAACAGGACCGTGGGAGGACTGGTTGCGAATTTTTTTTTCATAAATCCAATCACCTATGTCCACACCGACCGTCGACATGTTCGTTCCACGTGAAGTTTTTACGTTTATGTTTTTATTTCCCATCCTCTTGGCCCAGTGCTATAATTATTTATATAGTAACGAAATTATTATAAGTTAAGGTTAAAGCAGCGAATTACATCTGGTCTTTTCCGAGTAACACCCTCCTGCCGTATCTGTTCTAATAAACTTGTTTTGCCAATACCCTGTACACCCACGATCATTAATTTCATCCTAGCGTAAGGTTTCGCGTCTTCCAGTACAGACTTAAGGTAGCCGATGATATCCATTGTCTTGTATTTTTTGCTTTCTATCATAAATCTTAATGGATCTTGCAAAGAACAACCTCTAGTGTTCAGATTCCACAAACGAGACAGGAGTCCCATCTGGGGAGGGAGGTCAGTAATATCTAAAAATACCATCGGAATTTGCTTTGCAATATTTTTTGTAGTGCAAGGTTTACCTAAATTCCCACTAATGTTTAGAACAGACAGATTGGTGAGTTCTTGTATATTTGACGGAATTTCTTTTAAAACATTGTTAGATATGTCGAGCATTGAAAGATTCGGGAACATGAGCCTAGCTTTGCCACTCTGGAGATTCTACAATTTTTACAATAAATAATAAGACTTACAAACTAAAAGCACTAAAAAATAAAAACTAAAGGACACCAAACCGTAATTAAAATGCACGAATTGCAAGCAAGCCTCACCTACAGACGTTTAAGTTAATGTGGTTTATTATATTTATTTATGAACAAGAAAACCCTGGTTGCGATTGTTTACTTCAAATTTGATAGTCCCCATATTAAATACCACAACCGAAACACAAGATTGCTGTCGAAAAATCGTCGCTGGGCGGGGCAAATTCGTAGCGCTTAGCGCGAAGCAGCTTTTTATTTTAAATAGAAGGCGTTTCGCGGTTTCTTTGCTAGAGGGACGCATTGTTTTTCCATCGTGCTCCTGCGGACCACTATGGAACTTTCGCAAAATCGATGTTGTGCATACACCCTGTATATCGCGTTTATCACGTATCGCCAAATTTCAAAGCCACGACAAACTTTGATAGATATAAAAAAAATACGTAAGTAATAACGATTTCCAATGATATTATGATAGACGAAACCTGAAACTCTCTCGATACAGTTTAAACCAAATTATCCCAGGTTTTTTAGTTTTCAATTTACGACCATTAGCCCTGAATCTTCCACGTTTCCTGGTCCAAGAATTTTTCCATAATATTAAATGGTTTTCGAGAAAATAAGTTTTTTCTGAAACCATGCAGTGCATCATAATAATCAATGACGTTATCGCGTCTTGACTGAGCCCCCGGAATAGTGATTTTCATATGGATTTTTTCAAATATCTCGAGCAGCGTGTGTGATAAACGAAAACCGCAAATAAAAAAATTGTAGCTCTTGTAGATTGCCATATTTTTTACGAAGTTTAATTTGCGGTGAATAATTTACAATGGAAAAGAATAATTTTCTGGGTTTTTCAGATTTTTATCTATAATTGAAAAACTCTGTATATAATCGAAAAAATATCTGAAATAAATGTTACTGCACTGGATCTTCAGCGTTTGTTGGTTAAAGAATTTTGCCGATCGGGTGAATGGTTATGGAAAAAAACATGTTTTTCTGGAAGCCAAAATAACAAAAAAAAATCAAAAATGTTTAAAAAATGCTTGGTGAAATTTGATTGCCCCCAATTTCTAAATTTGAAGTCGATATCAAATTTAGGACACAACGCATTTATTATATTACACGGAATATCGCGAACACCCTGTACAATAGGTGAAAACCTTAAATACAAAAATTTTAGCTGACTATATGGGCTATATCGTCATGTAAAAGAAACTAACATCTGAAACAAAAAATTTTCACTATTAGGGGGACCCATTTTTCAGTTTTTTTGAATATGCGGCGCACTCTGTACATTCTTGAGAAACTATCAAGAATAAAAGTTAATCGAACCAAATCTTGTGCGTCTTCTCGTTTTGGTTGCATTAACAATTTTGGACAAAAGATTTTTTTCTTAGACCCTTGCAAACGCGATTTTTTATTTTTTTAAAATACTTCCTGACACCCCAACCTAACTAATTTCAATAGATTCCGTTAGGGGACCAAATGCTATTTGCCTGCCAAATTTGAAGTCGATAGCTTCAAATTTCGGACTCTTATCGTGTTTCATAGCAACGTCCAAAAAACAGTCGAAAATCGAAAAAAAAAAAGATGGACGCCGAAGCTTGAACGCAGCCATTTTTACATGTCTCATGCACCCCATGGACGGTTAAAAAGAAGCAAAATTTCAAGCGCGTAGCTTAAACCGTTCGGAAGTTATCGTCGAAAAACCCTTGAACAGAAAAGAGACAAAAAATTTTTTTTTTTTCGATGCTGATCACTTCTGTACCAATAACGGTCCCCTAGCACCTATTGCTACCGAGATCTTCAGTTTAGTGAGGAGCGCGTATACTTTCGAAAAGAATCGATTTCATCGACTTTTCAAAAGTAACAAGTAAATAAAACTCACATACCCATCAAAAACAAAGCTCGATAAACTCCATATAACCTCAAATAATTGATAAAATTCGCCTACTGTTTTGACAATAGACTGTGTCTAAGTTTAAGACTTAAGTTAAGTTTTTAGACGGGCCGGTATTGGCCGGCATTTTTGAAGATGATTGTTTTCCTGGAAACCACATACCAGTAAAAAAAAAAACAAAATAATGTCGCATCTTCTTGCATTATAGGTAGGACGAAAACTATTCTACCAAACAGAACCTAATCGGTAATATAAGATTATTTCTCACAAAACGGGATTTAAAATTTAAGATGTTTAGGTTTCTCGCTTTAGTAAAAAATTTTTCACCTCAGGTCTTTCATAAAGATTTCTTTTAGAGATAAGGCCCCTCTTCTTTACTTGATTCTGATATACTCACCCGTTCGATATCGTCCTCATCAGTACAAAAAAAGTCGCCGTTATCATCAGTTGTTAATTGTATCCTTGACAACTGATTGTCCGCTAATATTAAAGTTCTTAAATTATCAAGTCTTAAATGTCGACGATGAGCGCATACTGAATGTAATACAGAATGTCGCACTGATCTTCCCGAAGGCTGGCGAACTGAAACGTTACGCTGTATGCCGCTCGCAAAAATGAAAAATACTTGATTAAGATACCTCCGATTTCAGCCAACTTTCCTCTGAATTTTGCGTTGGTGGTGTAACAAATCAAATTAGCCAGCTCCATGTTATCTTGAGCTTCGACTTGCGGTAAACTCGGCCAGACACTGATTTGATTATGGCTCAAGTCCAACTGTTTCAACGAACTTGGATAGCTAGTAATATGCGACATAGATCTTAAGGTGTTGAATGCCATATTCAACTTTGTTAAATTAACTGCTAGGCAAGAAAGAACGACTGGAATGCTGGTGAACAAGTTATGGGCAAGATTTAAAGAACAAAGTTTTGAACATTTTTCGGTTGTTATATCATCACTGTGAAGAATTTGCTCTGTAACTTCAACGTGCTTGTTCCAAATGTGATGCTTGTTGACATCTAATTGCCTGAAATACATATTTGTGTCATAAGGTTATCATTTAAAAATATACAAAAACATTACATGTATGATCTCTCTTTCTTTGTATATTTTACTGACTGTATGCTATCCTCGGCACAAATGATTTTGTCAAATTCTGTGATCTCCATCTCTGGGTCTGGTTCTGTATGACTGGAAAGTTGACTGTCACTTGAACTGATACTCAATCTATCCAGATCTTCTGTCTAAAATAATTACCAAATAGACTGTAAACGTAGTTTTCCAGAAAAAAGTTTTGTAGAGAGTTAGGTTTTTATTTCACTGAATATTTTTAATATTAAATATAAGAATAAGAATGGGTGTCGTTTGGCATAATCCATTGCATTTGCGTTAATATCTCATATTAAATTATTTTTATTTATTTCAGGCCCATATTCTTTTGATATGGAACTGGAAAAGTAAGTTTATTTCTTCTGTTGAATATTTTTATGTTATAATTCATAAGTTTTACTTTTATTTTTTTCTAGGAATAAACTGACTTGCCAATTATGTAACTTCGAATTTTCAAGTACCTCAACTAAAAATCGATATATACAAACAAAATACTAAGACCTAAAACTAGTTTAAACTTGTAAGGGATGTAAAGCGATTCGGCATAGCATCTGCCCAACATGCACAAACAAGACTACTTTCTTTTTTCCGAATTTTGTAAATATATATATATATATATATATATATATATATATATATATATATATATATATATATATATATATATATATATATATATATATATATATATATATATATATATTTGTAAATCTATATATATATATATATATATATATATATATATATATATATATATATATATATATATATATATATATATATATATATATATATATTCTCACGTATTGATTCACGGATGGAAAAATGTGATGACACTATATTCCGGGATATCATCCGTTCGCTCGTTGAACTCCGACTGGAATCCTGCAAATCTTGCATCCGACTGGAATCCTGCAGACGTTTCGCCAAAATCTCACTTGGCATCTTCAATGCTCGCGCTCCGAAAACACTATATATATATATATATATATATATATATATATATATATATATATATATATATATATATATATATATATATATATATATATATATATATATATACAGGGTTTTTCACTTAAAACTCCTCACGCCAATAAGTCCAAAACGAAAAGAAATATTTAATTTATGTAAAAAGTAGTCAAAGTGTGGGGTCAAGTAGATATTTCCTAAAGTTTAAAAAATTCGACGCCTGCAAAGAGCTGGGCGTCGCGACGCGTCGAAAAATTATTCGATTGCAGAGACTTTGGAAATACGCGCATACAAAAGTACATATTATTTAAAAACTTTTTTGTTATTTACTCAAACTTATTTACTTTACCCGTTTCTAAGTTATACCGATTTAAAGTAAACATTTCATGATTAATAAAAAATGTGATTAACGCTTATTTTTACAAGTATGCCATGAATGTTAGTTACTATGGCAACCATTGTTATCGCAGTTGCTTTAAGTGCAATTACAAACAATAGATTTCAACGATTTTAGTATGATTTTATTTATTATTTTTTATCGATTTCGTTCTGATAACATGATAAATAAATGAAAAAACAGTAAAATACCTACAAGTTAATAACCAAAATTATTATTGCAATTAACTACATAATAAGACATTTCAAAAATTTTGTTCAAAATTATGTCCATCCGCTCGAACACAACTATCAAAAACTTTTAACAGATGAGCTTGGGTCACTTGTAGGACAGTCCTTCTTGTGATAGCGACACACGCTGCACTAATTTTGTTAATGAGATCAGCCATATCTTCGATAGGTTCTTCATAGATAACGTTTTTTAGGTAGCCCCAAAGAAAATAATCTGGTGATGTAATGTCCGGGGACCTCGCCGGCCACCTTACCGGTCCATTAGTACCAAACCATCTATTGGGATATTCTCGGTTCAAATATCTCGTTACTATTTGGGCATTATGTGCAGGCGCTCCATCCTGCTGTAGCCACATATTCATTCTAGTGTCAAGAGGCACTTCTTCTAATAGTTCCGGAAGTGTAGTTTGAAGAAATCTTAAATAGCGATCTGCATTTAAAGTTCCTTCGTAAAAGTAAGGTCCAATAAGGAATCCATTTAATATGCCGCACCAAACATTGATACTAAAAATTCGTTGGTTACCTCTTTCTGTAATCCAACGAGGATGGTTTTCGGACCAAAAACGACAGTTGTGTCTATTAACGATTCCATTATTTTGAAATCGACTTTCGTCGCTCCATAAAATTTTCGAGAGAAAATGTGCATCTTCGCTATACAAATCGGACAATGTCGCTAAGAAATACATTCTTCTAGCATAATCGCCTGGTTCTAGTTTATGAACTAGTCTACTTTTGTACGTATTTTTTGTACAGTATTTTCATCATTTGTAGCCGTCCTGTTCCTATCTCTTTTAGGTTTTATGAAGCTGTCATATTCTCTTAAGTTTTTACATAAACTTGAAAAGGTTTTTGCATCGGGGACTCTTCTATGCGGATAACGCCGTGCGTAAACTCTTTTTGCTTCTCTACAATTGCATCTGCATTCTCCAAACACCAGTAACATGTCTACTTTTTCCTCATTAAATCGGTATAACTTAGAAACGGGTAAAGTAAATAAGTTTGAGTAAATAACAAAAAAGTTTTTAAATAATATGTACTTTTGTATGCGCGTATTTCCAAAGTCTCTGCAATCGAATAATTTTTCGACGCGTCGCGACGCCCAGCTCTTTGCAGGCGTCGAATTTTTTAAACTTTAGAAAATATCTACTTGACCCCACACTTTGACTACTTTTTACATAAATTAAATATTTCTTTTCGTTTTGGACTTATTGGCGTGCGGAGTTTTAAGTGAAAAACCCTGTATATATATATATATATATATATATATATATATATATATATATATATATATATATATATATATATATATATATATATATATATATATATATATATATATATATATATATATATATATATATATATATATATATATATATATATATATATATATATATATATATATATATATATATATATATATATATATATATATTCTCACGTATTGATTCACGGATGGAAAAATGTGATGACACTATATTCCGGGATATCATCCGTTCGCTCGTTGAACTCCGACTGGAATCCTGCATCCGACTGGAATCCTGCAAATCTTGCATCCGACTGGAATCCTGCAGACGTTTCGCCAAAATCTCACTTGGCATCTTCAATGCTCGCGCTCCGAAAACACTTCGAGTGTTCGAAGTGTTTTCGGAGCGCGAGCATTGAAGATGCCAAGTGAGATTTTGGCGAAACGTCTGCAGGATTCCAGTCGGATGCAGGATTCCAGTCGGAGTTCAACGAGCGAACGGATGATATCCCGGAATATAGTGTCATCATTATATATATATATATATATATATATATATATATATATATATATATATATATATATATATATATATATATATATATATATATATATATATATATATATATATATGCCCTTCTGACACTTGTACAAATATTGGCTAGGTGGCACATATATACATATATATTTTTAGTAAAACCAGATTTATCTAGCACCCAACAGTATTTGTTTATTGTTATTATTCACTCTATTTAGCTCTTATTTTTTAGAAACACATATTTAAATCCCTCAAATCCGGCCATTTAATTATAACAAGACACAAGTATGAAAATAAAATTATTTTTACCTCAAACTATTTTTTAACTTAAATAGGAATAGGAATGTTTTAACACGAAACCAAATAACACCTTCGAAAGAATTATGTTTTTTAATAAATATCTCGCATTCCTGCTTCCTCAGAGCTTTTTTGTTGTAGCATCCTTAAAATGTATCTCCTAAAATATATTTTAAGGCTGAAATCATATGATCTAACAAATTGTTTTTGATGAACCAAAATTCTTCTTAAACTTTCTTCGCCTAGAAATAATTCTTGCTGTAGCTACTTCCTCATCTGAGTCAATTTCTATATCCGACAGGAATGAAGAAATAAGTGATTTGAGATGAATTCGAAAGTTGATAACTTCAGGGATAATTTTTTCGTGTGCAATAATAAAGGACATTATCGAGGAAAAGGACAAAATATGGCTTTAAACTTTGGGTGTTTAAAATGCATAGGTGCAAACTACTCATAATAAATGTGTGAAGTATAAGAATAATTATAAATGGCAATCAAAGACCAAGAGATTATCAAAAGGCAAACAAGAGAAAATCGTTCAAAAATTAACTGCACGATTTTCGAACCAAGGGAAGATTGAAGATTTACGAAAAATTCAAAAATGGTGGAGAAAAAACCTTGAAACGAGAGGAATGAGAATTTTATGTTTTAGTAAAAAATTTATTAGCTTTAAAATAACTGCATGCTTATACTTATGTTTATTTTAAACTAAATTGTAAAACTTAGGAAATATAATATTTTATATTGTTACTCCCCAAAAAATACAAAAATAAAAGATTAATAAACACATTGTCGCATTTATTTTAAGTCCTGTAAATATAATTTATAATAACTTAATATTTATTCCTCAAAAATAATAAAACTAAATGAACTGTTAAATTTAAACTATATAAAAATCCTTGTTTTAATTGACTGCAATCCGATCTTGGATAAACTTAACTCAACTAACTTAAAGAAAACCATTAGAAAATGGAAAGTTTTGTCGGTCTTGTTTAAAATTTTATTTGGTCCAGACCTCTCTTGAACCAAGTTGCCTTAGCGAGAAAAATAAATTACATAGTTAACTCATTTTTTAGCTTAGTTTGTTCTCTATATACAGTATAGCACAAATTAAAAACTACAAATTACTACAACATTCCTAGGTCATACGAAAAAGCTATAAAAAATGACACTAACCTCAATTGGAGACGAAGGCAATTCCTTTATAAGATTAAACGCTGCATTCAGTTCCTTCAATTTTGGCGCCAACCACATACCATATGGCAAACTCTGCAATTTGTTATTTGAAACGACCAATGTTACTAGTGACGGCAGTTTAAATATGGCGTCCGGGATGTGATCCAGCCTATTATCCTGTAAATATAGTTCCTCCAATACGGGGCATGAATAGCAAGAGTCATCTGAGTGAAGACCTTTTCTTCTATGTCCCTTTTTTGTGGGAGATGTCTGAGGCAGTGGGACTTTTTCAATTCTGTTCTGAGATAGATTTAAATATTTCAGACTTTGAAGTTGGAAAACTACTAATGGAATGGAGTTCAAGTTATTGTTGGATACATCCAATCGGGTGATCGCGTATAAAGCAATATCGTAGGAGCGTGGATTCTGTTTCAGTTTGGAATTTAAACTTAATGCAGCATCAATGAGCCATTGCGTTTTAATTTCTGTTAAACTACACCGTTGGTTGTGCCAATTAATCATCGTTGGTGTGTTGGGAAATAGAGTTGAGTAAGTCAAACTTGGTACACTGGAAAATATGCTAAACTGTGATGAGTGTATATTCTCAGTCATTGATTTTTTATTGATTTTATACTCGGGATCGGCGTGTGCCTAAAAAAATATATATAAAATACATGACATTTAATAACATATGATTCGTTTTTACTTTGGTCGATAACAACTTAGCTATGAGGGTCTCGTCTCTGTTCATGATCGCTACGCTTAACGCTCGGCATTCGTCATCCCTTGCTTCGTGTTTAAGTAATAAATCCACAACGGGAAAATCTCTATTTTTGCAAGCTTCAACAAGAGCCGTTGATTGAGCATAGCCCGAGTCATCGTCTATTACTGAACAACTGTTTTGAATCTAAAATAATGAGCTGTAGATTGATATAAAGAAGAAGGTGTTACTTTACCTCATTAATACTGTGGAAAGGTTTAATAATTGCATTTGGATTAGCACCTGCGTTTAATAAAGCTAAAACAATATCGTAATGCTTCCCCTTTACGGCAACGTGTAATGCTGTTTCAGTATTGTTATTGCAATACATGTCAATCCTTAGTGGACATATATCCCTGGCATTTCCATTCATCTAGAAAAGAAATTAACAAACTTTAATATTAATAACGTCACCAAGTTAGTTAGGATACTTTGTTAGATTATATGTGCTATGCTGAAATATTTGGGCTTTCAAAATTCCGTATACAGGCAGTATGCAGTGGGTTCTACATAAATATAATAATAATCAATATTTTTCTCTTGAGTTTCACCCAAATACCACCTAAGAAGAGACAGCACATTTTGTAAGATCTAAATATATTAATGTCAATATCTGTAGGGACTGTTTCTTATATTTTTTAATAGAAAACAATGAGAGCTAAATTTTCCCGCGCGATAATCAACATGAGCGGCTCACGTGAGTTTGTTCATTCATCCATTTATTGGTATTTAATGTGATTCAGTTGGCTCTACGCCAGTTGGACATTATTTTGAAGGCTGATTTTTCCTTTATCTTTATGTCTGATTTGGATTTTACAGGTATCACTACATTGGAATCGTCAGCGAATAACGGCTGTTACAGATTTTGTAAAACTATCCACATACATGTTAAAAAGTGTTGGCGATAGACAAGATGCCTTCCGGTATGTCCCATGTGATTAATTGTTTACTAGACCTTTGCTATAGATACAATGTAAAATTCTTTCATATCTTAATCACCAAAATTTATCGAAAAATTTTAACTGCAAAAATTGGGGGTTTGAATACACAAAAATATGGCGATTATATAGGGTATCTCACATCATATAACTTTTAGAGTTTCTATGAAACGGCTTGAATATTATTTAATTTTTACATTTCTGAGAAATTCTCGTAGTAGGTTTCTTCAGGTTCTCCTATGGTGATGAACTGGAAACTGCCAAGTTCAATTCCAGTTAGAAAGTACTTGCGCTTTTGACACAAAATATGGAATAGTAAGAAAATCATTGGAACTAGGTATAAGTAAAGGCATAGCCAATGAATGTAATAACAATTAAAATAACGATATAAGATTCCTCTGTAAAATCGAGTTTGAAATTTTGATCATCTGATATTCTGCTTTAATTACAATACTCCTTCAAATGAGTAATGGAGGTTGGGGTGTGGTAGCGAAAACCGCAAGCCCAGAGAGGTAGAAGCTAGTAACTAAGCGCGACAGCTAGCTAAGCACCACCTGGCAAGATGTCATTCCAAAAGTCCTCATTCATTATAACAATATTCTCTTTAAGCATTGTAGTTTGACCTGACCTAATGATTGCCAACTGTTTTAAACGTCAAGAACACCACGAGATCTATGCGACGAATGCGCTTTGTTGAAGAAACTAAGATACTCCAAAAGGACTGGTAGCCTTTCTAAAGTGACGCGATCCCAGTTTAGTTTAACGTGAGCATTAACCATGGACATTAGAATCGAACGATGTTGCGGATAGGACCTTTGGGCTTGCGTTTTTGTTTCAGAGATCATGGTTTCGCAGATTACCATTGTAAGAAACGCTGTCAGTGACGAGGGGTGTAGCTATTTTCTGACACATGATTTATTAGAATATACGTTCAGCAATGCCAACAAACTACATATTTATAAATTTATAAAAAATTGTCTTCAAAAAAATAACTCACAATATCAAAAAATTAAGAGTTTTAAAATTTTCCAGAAAAATATATAAATAGTTTAGCTCGTCAAATTTACCTCTGTTCTTTTTAAAAATTCATTACCTCATTTTCCAAAGAACCACCTCTTGACAAGTTTAACTTCGACATTATATTCATAATACCATCGGATATTCTTTTTCTCGTAGGACTTAATACCGCTTCAGAACTGGGCGTAAGATCGTCGTCCTAATAAAAAAAAAAACCTTAAAAATAAGCAACAACCATTAACAAAGGGAAACATACCGAGCTTATACTTTGTATAATTCTAGTCGCTTTAATTTTAAACCTGAGTATTGCGTTAACGAGCTTTTTATTTCCCAAAAGTGACGCCACGTATAAAATATTCTGCCCGGTGGCATCCCTTTCATTAACATCATATGGCATGAAATATTCCCACTGCTCTGTAACATCTCTTTAAAAAAATCATAAGAGTCAGGACTAATCGAGGTATGTCGCTAATAAGCTTTACTTTACCTGTATTTGCGCAAAACTTGTGACGGATATGGAAAATAAAACAAGTGCTCGAGAACATCGACATGTCCGTTGATACAGGCGGCATGAATAGGTAACCAACGTTCAACTGTGTGTTGCTAAAAACAAAAAAGCGCTTAAAAAATTAGATAACGCTTAAAATTTTTTATAATACCTGCACCAATTCCGGAAATTTCAACAACAGTAGTTCAACAATTTTTAGATGTCCATGATAACAAGCAATGTAGAGAGGCGAATATTTTGTAACGGGATGATATCTGCCGTCAGCACCGTTATCGAGAAGAATTTTCACAATTTCCTTATTTCCAATTTGACATGCACTGTTGAAAGAGAAATTGTGTATACTTAATAGGTAGCCACCAATTTTAAAGAAAATTGATTCTACTATATCACAAAATTTTTTAACGTGCTGAGATAAACTATAGTAATTAAACATTCAAAAAGAAGTCCATCTCTCAATGTCTAGGAGACATTCTTTATCGCCTGTCAACTACTCGTGAGCACTAGTAGATTGAGATCGTCTGCTTTTTGTTACGAACACCTCAGAAAGCACCAGTACACTCAATATCGTCACTTAAGTTTATGAACCAAATCTCCCTCCAATGAATGACACAGTCAGTAGCTAACAGACTACCACTCTCTTTTGAAGTGTCAAATTCCACTTGGCCGTCGATTTTTAGTCCAATTTGACACTTGCCGTATTGCTGTGCCGTTGATTGCCAGTCAAAAAAGGGGATAAGATTATTTTTGCTGCCTTAAGGACACAAATATCAAACAAGAAAGCAGTATCAGCAATATCTGTAGGAAATACCGCCTTAAAGAATATGTGGCTTCCAGATGTTTTGGTTGTTAGATTGACTAGATGTTTTGTAGAAACATTTTCCGCCGGATCAGTCAAAAGCAAGGTCTGCGTTGAAGTGCAATTCTTACCATATTTTCTCATGGGAAACTAATTAAAACCAGAAAGCCACAATGATTGTATGATGATTGTATTGATGGTAAGTTCATAATTTTGTGCAATGCAAGTATTTAATTTGAATCTTTTGATAAGGAAATTGAAGTAATGAACCAAGTTACAAATAATGAAGCTAATATAGATATGAACATGAGTTTGAACCCCGTCAATCTGTGCACATAAAGTTATTCAAAAGAAAGACAGAAGAAAGGAATTAAAAATTTCAAATTTCTATAGGGCTCCAAAATGAACTACGATACATAAATATTTAGGTTTAAGATGCACTACCCAGGTGGAAGAGCAAGATAATAAATTAGAAATACACACTTTAATCTTTATGCTGTCAGAAATGACGATCCAATTGAAACAATTTCAATATCAATTTAAGAAAATCAGTGCAATAGGACTTACATTTGTCTGGTAGTATCGGATATGAAACCTCAGAATCAGACTGCTTTGTGGTGAACATAGTGATTTAAAAACCACTGTTAAAAAATTATTCGTCATGCCTGATCTTCTACATGTATTTAAAGATATGGACCTTGCTTTAACCCAAGGCTTCTCATTTTAATGTAGAGAGTTTTAATTTCCCATCATATATTGTAAATTTAAAATTAGCTTCCCAAATCTAGTATAATTCAATCTGGACATTTTGAGAAAATGAATGTTGGTTAGTTTTCTAGAATTAATGTACAAATGGTTTTGGTTTATCTGCAAAATTAGCTATGCTGGAAATCGCCATATAAACCGCATTAGATTTGCAAGATATTTTTATTAATAAACATAAGTACCCTATGTTAGATCTCTTTAGACGAGAAAATTTAAACTGTCTTGCGTTTGATATCTTTACCTCAGTTTTTTCTCCATCTGAATTCGTACAAATTTCCAATAATGAACTTGATAATGATAATCATTACCGCACCAGAAATATAACAATTACTGAATGTGAAAAACAATCTTTTCATTGCCTTCTGGGCTCAATTATACTGAAAAACAGTGAAACTGTGATGGTAATATATTTTTTTCAGTTGTACTAATTAATAACGGTAATGAATTTGTTAAATAAATTTGCACTTTTGTTGCAAAACCAACTCTGTAATGTACCGGTCTAAAAATATTTTTGACAAAATGAGACAAGCTGAAATATATTTTCAAAAACAATGTAGTATAATGATAAACAATACAACAATTTGAGGGAATTCACCAATGAATTTATGAAAAATGCTACCGATGTACGAATATCCACAACGTCAAAATGCCACAATACGAGCTTGATAAAAAAAAGTTCCCCGAAATTTATCCACACCCACACAGACTTATGCCAGGGCCTGATCCAATTCTCGAAACTATTTATAGATTCGATTTTCGGTATGTCCATCAGTGTTTCCTGCGATTTTTCAATTACTTCCTCTCGGCTGCCGAAACGGTTGGCCGTAGTGGTTTTTCGACTCGGTTGAACAGAAACTCACCGCGGGCTAAATCAGGTAAATTCGGTTGCTACTGCATGGTATATTTTTTTTGCACCATGATAACGTCGTAATTTTTTGTCAAAAAATTACGTATAGTATTGTGCGACGTTATCATGGTGCAAAATCCACGAGTTTTCTGCCCACAATTCTGGTCTTTAGAATGTCAACAATCAAGGTACCAACTTAACAAAAAAAAAAATAAAATCGGAGCAATGGGTGCGCCATCTGGTGGTTATTTACTGAAATTTTTGATCAAAGTATGCAAAATCAAAACAAAGCACAGAATCGGCATTATGAACTGCTTCTTATAAATGCTAATTTTTGCGTGTGATTGATACCTACGTCTGTTGGTAACGATATAGTCAATTGTAGGAATGAAAGCTTTGGTGTTCCCGAATGTAATGTGAATTTTTATCGGGAAGAATCAGGTATTCAAAACAGTGGGAATCGAAACTCTCAGAATCGAGGAGTCTGATGAGAATATGCCGTAATAGATCATCCGCTGGCAGAGGAAAAGCGGAATATTGGGTACATACAATAAATCCTATATCCCAATGTTATTTAACAGTTTCTGTCAAAGTAGACCGTAGATCCGAGAATTTTTGCAAATATTGCAAATATTAAAACTTATTTTTTCCGGAGATTCCAAAAATGTTAAAATATTTTTATCGAAAAATACATTGTGACGTGGATTAGACCAAGACCAACATTTTTTCATCTGAAATACCGAGGAGACAGTTAATAATAACCCAACTTACACTTACGAAAATAAAAGTGTGTTCGCGCCACTTGGTGCCATATTGACAATAAGTTCTGCATCGTCTTGTAACGACGAAATAAGTTGTTGCACAGAATTAACATCGCCTTGTGCGCAAGCATGCCCGATAGCAGCGTGTACGTCCAATCTCGCTTTATCTTTTGCCTCTGAAAAAAAGTAGATACCAACACATTACAAATACTATCGACGATAGATCAGCAAAAACTAAAATTTACCGGATAGGTATTTAACACATTTTTGAAAGAACGAGCCATATATTTTCATCACAAAAATTTATGAGATAAAGAGAAAAAAACAAATTATTACTGCATACATCAAATTTTTAAAGTAATTGAACTCAAAGTGATTAGATGCCTACTGGTGCATCGGAAACAGTATGCGATACAAGACTTATGAGATATGACTTAAAACGTGGAAAAGAAAAAATCTTGAAATTGTTGTATTACATTAAGTTGATCAAAAGGCTCATTTGAGCTTCGTTGGAATTAAACAATCAGGTGTTATTCTTCAACTTAACCTTCGAAAAGAAAAAAACACAACACAAACACAGTGTTGGAAATCAGGCAAAATGCTCGCACACGTCCATCATTCTGTTGTCTTGCGCATTTTTTGCAGTAAATAGAAAATATCCAGGCTAGGTCAAAATGTAGATGACGATACCTACCAAGTTCCTTTTTCTTTCTGAAATCTGTGTCAAATTTCGAGCAGAATTCACTTAGCATACCCCATAAAAAATAAAAAAAACAGATACGCGTTTATTATCCTCCGTACAAAATTACATTACTACAGGATTTGAACGCTAGACCTAACTCCTCCCGACTTTTATTTTTGTAGGTACATCAAAAACTGTGGATGTTAATGTAATTCTCAAACAGAGGAAGAATTATAACAGCTGGTTTTACAAGCATTTCATTTTATTGCGTTAATATCCAGTTGCACGTTACATATGTTTAGAAAATAATGACTATTTCTTTAAACTTTTGTGTATTGTTACTTCAATGGAGAAAATAAGTTTAATAATTATACTGTATAGATTGTAGGGTAACACTGTCTTGAAAACGATTGTCGTGACGGTGAGATTGGAAGTCACTACGTATCCTTTATCGAAGATATTGGCGTTTTTGTGAGTAGGCATATTTCTTTTAAAGTATCTGTTTAATGAATCCTCTACTTATTAATTACATATTTTTCGCAATTTGTTTTGCAATTAATGACAAGTGAATTATTGAATACCGCTCACCCTTGTCTTGTATCTTGCCTATGAATAAATTATTAGGCCAAGACAACATACTTTGAGACACGCCATCTTCTGCAATCCTCCTGAATCGGTTGTTTATAACTTAAACTTGCTGACGAAACTTTAGTTAAGCTTTGAAGAAAGCAATAGCAGCAAGTTTGAGATATAAATAACTGACGCAGGAGGAATCCAAAAGATTTGTAAATAGTATTACAGTAGCCTGTGGAAGTTTCTTTGAAAAATTAACCAATTAAGATGCGAGCGAATCTGTCCAAACAAGTTTAGGTCAAACAGTTAGAGAAACCATTAGTTGTGGTGTGCCTGCTAGTTTTCATACTAAGGCCACTTTTATTTACAATTTACACCAGCAATTTTGTCTTGTGTATGAAAATTGTTACAGCATATTTTTCTGCTGAAGACACCCAGTAATTGGTATACGGTCCAAGAATTGATTAGTAGAAGCTAACAGAATCCTGAGCAGATTATGGTTTGATAATTAATCCTTAATAATATGTTATGCACTTTGGACGGAAAAGGGATCGCTTGGTGTTTGAATTCAATATACAAGTTGGTGGCAGAGTTTTGCAAAAAAAAAAAAAAAAACATATATTTTCGCTTTAGAGAGCAAGCTGGGTATTATAAAGTCCTTAAGGTTACTTTATACATAGAGCGCACTTATTGCTTGAGGCTTAGAACATTAAATGAACAAATTTTAACTATTGTAACATTTTATATGATCCATAGTTAGATAAAATTGATACAAGTAGAATCGAGAGAGCACAAAAAAAATGTTTACAGTTAATTTAGGGCAAAAAAAAATACGATCCAGTCTCATACAAACTACAGGATGTCAAATGGTGCATTATGCAGAATAGGCGTATATTGAATGCACACAAATTTATTTTTAATAACGGCCTACCTTACTTGATCAATAAAATAACAGATTGAACCTTAAATTTCGAGTTCTTATCTCTCCACCACCACACAAGACGTCTTTTTTACTACAACATTTTATAAACTTTGTAATATCCTACCGCCTACTTTAAAATTCTTATTTTAATTAATTTCTTTCAATTAAGACTAGCAAGTTTTTTTTTCAGTTATTTTATTACTCATGTGAACTAGTAATTTAGAAATAGTTATGTATTACTTTATAGTAGATGAACTTTGAACAATTTTTTCATTGCCTTATGTAGTTTGCCGTATGTAGTTTTATGGTACCTGTAACAACAAGTAGATAAATAAGTTAATAAATTAATAATTAATAAGTTTTTATCAGCTCCTAGGCATTTTTGGAACCAGAAATCGAACTGCTCCGGGGTAGTAGTCCGGAAATTGAAACACAAAATATATTCATACATTCTGTTGTATTGTGCACTGTATTAATTATATAAATAATATATACAAATTAAATAAAATTAGCCGTCAGAATAGCTTGAACCTGTGTTATCACTATCATCCAAGGATATGGTTAACACATTCACACTGAATATATTGCGTCTGACTTGGTTTTTTAATTCGGCCTTTATCATTTCCATCAATTTTATCATATGATTAGGATCTTAAGACTTGCAACTAATTTTTTGTACAGAAATCTTCAAAATAAAAGTCATGCTGACAAGGAGTTCTTACAATGCCTCTTTTTTGCTGCTAATCGTTAGTATTTTTATAGCCCAAAGTACTGTTATTATCATAAACTATTACGCTTGCTCGTGGGATATTCGGACTTTCTCTCGAATCACAGTGTAAAATAGATATTCTTTTTCCTCTAGATGCAGGTCCACTCAAAATGCAGTTCAATGAAGAATTGTGCGACCCTTCCTTTATAGTGTCATGGGTGTAGAAGTCTCGCCTGAATAATACATATTTGGTTTTTCTACACGAAATTGATAAATCTGAGGTATTTTTTTGTCGCTATCCATTGGGTTTCTTTAATGCAACTACATTTGCCAATATTCTCTTTTAATTTCAATTACAATGATCCAAGTAACGAAATCTAATTACTCCCATACATCGCATACACTTCCCGGCGAATTCAATTCGCTCACTATTTCTAAACACTTTCACTATGCCTTTGCCACATTGTTCCTTCCTTTCTACTGAACCATCAAGCAATTAATGCAAGGTTGACCTTGGAATGCCAGTTAACTTCACTGCCCTAAATACCTTCTCTGACATTATTAGAAGATCTGCAAAAAAATATTGCATTAAAAAAATTATTAGCGGATTTCTCTTATTTGATATGTTGAAGTTTCAGGAACGTTATAATAAACCTGAATAATGACTTTACAAAGAGTTTTTTTGTACAATTGTAATATAAAAAAGAGAAAATATAAGTAATTTAGTAATTATTACAATTTTACCTTCATATGCACCTCATAGAACAGTTCTTTTGCAGCACATATTCAAACGATACTCTCCTTTTGGTTCGTTACTATCCTACATTGATTCTCAAAAATTCCGGACGCATGTTTGGCTTTGCCACTACCATTAATTTTTATACCAATATTCATTGTCAGATAAAACGTTGGAGGTCCTGGATATTGCTTGCCAGTATAGCAGTATCATCAGCGTATCTTACATTATTGATTGAAACTACATTCAGTGTTATTTCTCCCATACTTTGATCGGTTGTCTCATTGAAAATAGCGTCGCAATAAAGATGAGTGGTGAGAGGATACATCCTTGCCTAACGCCCCTTCTAATACTAATGCTCTCTGATACTTCTCCCTCCAATTTGACTTCAGCGGTCTGATTCCAGTATAGCTGGGTTATAAAGTGCACGTTTTGTTTTATGCTCGACAAGGTCAAATGTTTTGTGTTTGTGCGTGCAAGCATGCATAGATGTCTAGGTTCATATCTCTATATCGTTGCACTAGAACGTTTAATGAGAAAAGAGCCTCTCGAGTGCCCATTGCCCTACAAAAGCCGAAGTTTCGTGAATCTGTTCCTCTCACTTTTGTTATATTCTCGTGTGTATGATTCTTAATGATATTTTAAGGATATGTGACATCAAACTAATTAGTCTGTAATTATCACACTAACATAACAAATAATAATAATAATTGTAACGCGCATATTTCTTTATTCTACTTTAAAATTTCTAAGGTGTCGATAATACGAAAACAAAAATACCTCCTTGTACTGATAAGCGCTTTATCGTGTGCTGCACGGTCGTAATTACTTTTTTGGGACGGTCTCTCAAAAGTCAAGACGATATAGTCGGAGAAACACTATACCTAAGGTTCAAAGGATTCTATACAAGCGAACGATATACCTATAACAAATTCGCAATCGGTTTCGATGGAACGTAATATAGTACTTGCCATCGGTGGAATTAAAGTCCGCAAAATCGTCCGTAAAATATTCGCAGACGTCAAACGCTGGCTCCGTCGCTCTTTTCCTGCGTGCTTTTTTCGACATTGTCACGGAACACCGATCAATACAAGGTATATTAACGTAAAAACGTGTCGGCACTAGCACTGTACATTTTAACGCGAACCATTTTAACCGTCCGCATAAAAAAACAAAATACGAAATGTAAATCAGCTGCAAAATGTGCGTTTATCAAATAACAGCTGCTCTCTCCCTCAACCGTTCCACAAAATCGATATCACAGAAGAAGTCGGACATGAAATGGTTTGCCCGACTCGACGACTTGAAACGTTCAAAAATACGAGTAATAGGAGGCAGGCAACGCGTTTGCGGTTAAACAAAGTGCCGGTAATCGCACACTACTTACTTACGAGATTTTCCGGTTATTATTATCGTTGCATTCTAATATCCCGTCGAGCTGAACCACCCGTTTAGTTTATACTTCCGCTTCAGGAGCAGAATTAATAGATACGTCAAAATAACTATCAAAACGGCAGTAAAACAACACCGTCCGACCGTTTTGTAGGTGATCAT